ATGACAGGTATAATGTAATCCGTCTTTAGCAGCTTATGGTTGGATTCCTGGCTGCTTATTGCTAATTAATGTAACTTTTTTTCAATGTACCAAACCTTTTACTTAGAAATTAATATAGCTACGATTTACAATAAGCCTAAATACAACTGGAACAAATCAGCTTATAACTGATGATTTACAATTGGGGAGTTAAGAGAAATAAACGCATAATAAAAAACAGAACATTATTATAAAAGTATTCCCCCCTGCACCTGCACAACTATCACTTCCATATGCCTGGGAAGCTGGAGGGATTATTACTGAATTGCAGCAATGTAGGGGTGAGATATAGGAGAAGAGCAGAGGAGAGTGAGTCAGCATATTCTCCAGACTACTGTAGCTCTGACCTATGCCAACAGCTGTTAAATTATGAGGCCAAAGCACAGCCTCTGCCCGTGGAGCTTATCAGCAATGCTCAGACTCTATAAATAATGGCCACGAGTCAGAAGCACTAAAAGATGTGAACGCTTCGGCAAGTTAGGTTTAAAAGCAGAACAGAAAAAGGTTACAAGTACATGGTCATATGTAAGGACAAATCAGCCTCAAAGCTGATAAACAAAAGCTGCAATGTTAGTAACACTTATGAACTCTTCTAAGTGATCAGTTATTATCAATTTGGAAATGTTATGGTACAATTTCAAGTACCTTATAGTAGACGCAAGATAATTCCAATCTAGTTTTTACCTAATTGCTATGCCTATAAGCCAAAAGAAATTAAAGTGGGTGGTAATTTAATTCCTGCTAACTTTTGAGTGCAAATCCAACATAAAAGGAATAATTTGTTCCTCTAAAGACTCCAACTTTAAAAACCTTAATTCAAACTACAGGAGCTAGTATCTAACTTATCACAAATCCAAGGGAGAAAAGCTTAATTAGTTGGGTAATAGGGTCATATATCTTCTTAAAGGGTCACTTTAATGCACATGGCATGCTGCAGATGAGGTCTCAGAGTTTTATGTACCAGGAGATTCGTAGTTGCTTCATGTGGCCCTGAAAAACTAGCTATAAGCGGAAGACGACAAATGGCAAATGTTAAGAAGGTGCAGAGAGTGTTTGGCATGCAGTGGGGAGCGCACTGTTACCAGTAAAGTGCAGAGAAGTGAGGTGATTTAGCACTGAAAGGAAAACCTAATCAATTCTACAATCCTCCAATCAGCCTCTGGTAAGTCTCACTTCTGCACATATCATTACTAGAGACACACTCACATGCATTTTAATTTCACATTACAAAATCGTAAGAGCAAGAGAAACAAGATGGTTAAAATCTTGTTCATTTTAACAGGTCTGTAGAATATGCATGCAGTATTATTCATGCAGATCTAGTGATTTATTTTCATCTAAGTATTGAACAACTAAAAGACATGATAAATAGTAAAGATAGACAGGAAATGTCTATAAATAGAATCGGGAAAGAATGTGTCCATGAAAATGAAATATATTTTAAGACAAAGAAAAGTGATTTGATGACAGACAAAATGGAGAATGATCAGAAGAATAAACTAATTGTCAGCATCCACAAAGTCAAAGGGTTAATTATACATTTAGTCTTGTCAGCAAGATCTGAAAATGATAATTTTGTTCTTTTCGTACCTTTCAAAACCAAATCTTTATTCCATTCTGTGCCTAAAACTGAATAGCCAATCTTTAGTTCAGTCATTCTGCTAATCGGAAGCATTTTAATCAGTGATTACATTTTCTGGCTTCCCTATGACCTAGTTATTGGTATTAAGGTATTTCACAAATTACTTTCTCAATGCTCCTAAACTTTTCAATCTTACCCTTCCAACAGTTTATAGCTCTTTTCTTAAGCTACCAAATGCAGCAACAAATCGACTGTAGGTTTCTCCAAATTAATGGAACAAAAAGTAAAACAACTCTGCCCCTCTCTGATCTATTGCTACACATTGCCAGACAAGATTGCTACACCTTCATTGTTGTAAAAGAAAGACACAATGGGAAACACTTCCAGACATCAAAACACTATGTTAGTGAAAGCTAACCAGAGTTAACCATCAGTATCATTTTAAAATCCTAGTTGTGCAAAAATTAGCATTACTATTAAGCAAAAAACTGCATGGACTACATTAGCATATAGCCCACCTGATATGGATACTATTAGCAGGTTTTTTTTATTCCAAGGTCTATGACAAAAGAAGCAACATTGTAGAAATAGTCTTAACAATAAGTGAGTTGAGTTTGAAACTATATTAAAACAGGTAGGTACATATTCTACCCCTAGGCATGAACATTTGCAAATAGTGAATCAATGTTAAAAAGCAACTTTATAAACAACATTAATGTTCAATATTATATCAATCTGAGGTGGTTTGTATTGCTGCATTGCAGAAAATGTAAAACTTGGTAAGTCCATTTTTTTACAATAAGTGCATTTTGTCTTGAATTGTATTAATGCCAATGCATTGAGACAATTTATATTTAAAACAAGAACAATGACAATTCCTAATCATCTTATTTTAAGGGTAAAAATACTCATTCCATTGGCAGATCATTCGATTCACCTACTCTATTCAATGGTAAATCCAGTAATTTTAAGATATTTCTACTCATTTTTAGACCCTTCCTGCAGTGTGTTGATTTTTCTTTCTTTAATAAAACTTTTTAATAAATCATGTCACATATTTTTGTTTCTTATTTCAATAATCATACAATTACTCAATAAAAACCATTTGGTTTTTTACTCAAGTTTATCATCCCTTTAAGGATCCCAGTCCAAATAATGCCTACTTTGTCTTAGATGCCCACAAGCAAGGTTCAGTGATGGAAGAATCCATCAATACTTCTCTCATTTTTTAATTAATGGAAGCAATCCCTTTGAATCAATGCAGCAAGTTCAGTTTTAATTAGGTATTTATTTGATTAATGCCAAAACATTGCACTGCAAATTACCTGCCCATATTTTGCAGCCAAATGGAGTGGGGTCCAAAAGTTGTTGTCGGCCGGATGGGGGTCTGCTCCACTTTCCAATAACACTGACACCACCTCTCTGTAACCACTGGCACATGCAATGTGGAGCTTTTCAGAAATGGAAATGCAAAAAGAACATATGATTAGAAAAATACAAAGTGGTAAAGAAAGAGTTGGAGAAATCAAAGTCAAATATTCACAAGCATAAATCTTTACAGCAGTTATTAAATTACCAGAGTGACTCCTTCATCATTTGGCTGGTTAAGGCTTCCCTTTGTGGTTACAAGATTTTTCACATCGGTCAGCATGGTGGTTGGTCTCTGTGTCTTTATAATATGCATGGAGGCCACATCTACACCTACAACACAGTAACATAATATTACATTCCTGTTTTTATTACTGTTACCAATCATTCATTTATGTATTCACTTAAATATAAAGCACAGAGAGGCGCAGCAATAAAACTGAGACACCTCAAGCAGATAGATAGATTACAGTGTCCTATAAATCCTTTATACCCTTTTGGTTTATTTAACATGTTTCACAAAACTTGGATTTTGTGACAAGTCAAGATAATCTAATGTTTGATTGTGCAGTGAAAGGAAAATAACACATAGCTTGACATTTTTTTTTTGTAATTTCTGACAGATTTTGTGTGCAGAGAGACTGAATGTTTCCTATAGATTTAAAGATAAATCCAGCTCAGACTGGATGCAGAGGGTTTGTCATAATCAATTAGCAACAAATTCTCCATTTGATGTAGACCTGGACTTCGCCTGTGGCTACACTTGTAAACATGAACCTGCTTTGACCTAAACTATTTTATGCATGTGCATCAATGGATGATCCATGGGACAGTGTTTTACAGGAGGTTTAAACTTTGATATATATATATATATATATTGAACATAACTCCTCCTTTAGCTCTTCTAAAATGTTATCCTCCATGGTGTATCCTTTGGTTTTCATGATGCTTTTTATTTGCTAATTTTGTTAAGAAAACCACTGATATATTACAGAAAAGTTGTTTTTTTAATGAGTACTTCTTTTTTTATTTCTTGAACCAAAGATGTAACAGACTGCAAAAGATTTTGTGTGTGTCAAACACAAGAGGCTTGGACACTTTACAGATTTTATTTAGAACATTTAGAAAGCATAATTTTCCTTTCCTTTTACTGCTATACAGTACAATGCCTTTAGTATAGCAACCAGTGATAACTGGTGTGGTAGCTACTATATAACACTGCTACACTGGTTGTCATTTATTAATAATAATAACTGAACTTTATTGATCTCACATTGGAGAAATTTACTTCTGCATTTAACCCATCCCCTTCGGGAGCAGTGGGCTGCTATAGTGCGGCGCCCGGGGAGCACTGTGGGAGTTAAGGGTCTTGCTCAGAGACCCAGAGTGGCAGTTTGTGGGAGTGGGGCTTGAACTCAGAACCTCAGGATACTAAGCTCTATGCCCTAACCACTTTTTAGACAAATTTGACAATTTGTGTAAAAAATTTAAAAGGAAAAAAAAATGTTTTCAAGGTACTGATTTTCCCAATTTTGCTTATAGATAAATTAAAACAACTTGTAACTCTCTGAAAGTTCCTGATTTCCAAAAAGCTGAACAGATTATTTACAAGTGCTCCATAGTGGTAACCTGCACATGATGCCAACATTTTCACCTAATCAATTAAAGGTGAGAACTTGTGGGTCGAGCAAACAAACAAAAGGAGACCTAAATGGCTGCATGTTCAAATCTGTACAGGTCAGTTTCTTTCTTTCTTTTTGTATGCAAACACCAAGCACAGCTTTCATTGTTGTAGCACAGTACATTGATTAACAATAATTCTATGTACCTGATATCTGTTGTAAACTAATGAGATTTTACCAAACCAGTGGTTGGAATCGGTTGATCAATATGTTAATCTTTACCAAATAAATGATAGCCTCGGGGTCAAGAGTGGTGATCTTTAAATGTAAGGCCAAAGGAGAATTTTAGCCTGTAAAATATTGTATTCCGCCCAAAAACACATTCATGATAAAAAAAAAAAATAAATAAATAAATTCAGTCCAATTTAATCTGTGGTTTGATGACAGTACTGGTTTAGTCAGTTATGATGCTTGTTTGGAGAAAGTAGAGCGAAGTAAGACAGAGTCTGGTCATAAGTTTACATACACTTTTTTTCTTTAGATTCCAATGGCTTCATATTATTCACTTTCACAGGGCAGAATGGTTACACACATTAAATTTAGGTGATTTTTGAAACAAAACTTGTAATGTGAAGAATTTGAAAGATGATTCTCTTTCTTAATTATTTTATATTGCAAAAATGCAAGCCCTCAATACCTGACAGCAGTTACATATTTTTAAGTGTAAAAGTCTCATCTCTCATAAATGTTTTTATCATCATAGCTAAATCTTGATCATATACTCTAATCATAAAAATATTGGATCATGGTCTTCACCTGTTAATTTAAATCATAACCTAAATGTGTGTTTCAACATGACAAAGATCTTATGTATATCAACCATTGTCGCTATCTGTTTATCTAAGCAGAGTTTTGGGGTGCGGTGAATTTCTTATAATACCTCCCGTGGTCCTTGAGTAAAAGGTGTGTTCCACTTTGAAAAGATCACCACTCCACTACAACCAAACACTTTACATTTTGAATAGTGTACAAATGTAAAGTGAAATACCTAAAGGGAACCCATGCATACACAAGCTGAGCATACAGCTCCATGCAAAAAAAAAACCACAGTTGGGATTAAAACCCAAGACCATCTTGTTAGTTCGCAGCTATCCAGAACAACTGTCCATCTCCTATTCAGATCAGATGGAACTTTGGATAACTTACATTTTGTTTCCTTAAACCACATCCACCCCAAACCTCACCCAAGTTAAGAACATATGCTTTAACCAAAACAGGAGGAGAGGTCAAACATAGTGCCAGAATTATGTCAGAAGCCCAGCATGTGGTAAAGGTAAATGTTGTTAGGGACTTGTTAGGGATATCAACATAGTGGAATTTGTCAGCTATAAATTTACTTGAAAAAGTACAGACACTCTTGACCCTGTGAAGCTTGTAGAAAATCCACCATAAATTCAATTAACCAAGGATTCCTTTAAAGGGGTCATAGCATGTTAAACCAAGTTTACATTGTCATAGATTAATAATGATAGTTCAGTGGGGGAAACGGACCAACAGAAAAGTTCAAACCCCACCAACAACCCCTTTCTCTGCAAATCTCACAATTCTAAACTTCCACTGTAGTCGACCAAAATCCCGGTCGATTAGAAATTCCCCCTCGGACATTTTTATGGTATGAAAAGTAGGACATGTCCGGGAAAAAGAGAACGTCTAGTCACCCTACCATATCAACAATTTGATGTCTCAGTGAGAGAGTGCTTGTTACTATGATTTGTCTGTGCTCAGTAGCTTTGCTAGTTTTACACCAACCAATCAGCGCACATCTTATCTAAATATTCATAAGCATACCATAAAAGGAAGAAAACCTGTTGTTTCATTCTAGGGCTTTTAACCAGGCATGCATTAGGGCTCATAGAACAGCTAATATGCCATTTTCAGCCCAACCAGTGTTACACACCCTATTCAGAGACCTTAAGGACCAGCAGCAAATACACTATATAATCATTCTACGACTCCTATAATATACTGTATTTATCCCGATTGTCTGCTATATAATCCTACCAGTGAAAAAAGCATGGTTCAAATACAAAAAGTTAAAATGAAACATGAAATCCATACTAATGAATGAAGTCAATCCAATATTCTGACCAGACAATGGTGATAGTAAAGGAAAAGAAAGGACATTAACCTTCAGCTCCCATCTCCTGGAATAGGGACACATGGAAAATCTGTCTTTCCTATAACTGCACAAACTTGATAAGGATAGAGAGCATACAACCCTGTTGCTAAGGCAACAGAGGCTGATCGAGCCCTTGTGAGTGAGGGTATGTTGCATGGAGGCAAAACCCAGTGGGAAGGGGGGTAGGTTTGGGAGATCACAACATGGTGCTGTCAGAGAGAAGATAGCTGAAGTGAATGCATCTGTGGCTGTGGCTGTGTGGGTGTGTTCTTTGGTGTGCATGTGCTTCTATACAAATTTGCTATCCTATGTCAGAATGTGACATTTATCATGTGATTTATTGCAGACTCCAAAGGGCTGATGCTAGATACAAAGCAGAAAGATACACCCCTATTCTTGCAATGTTTCTATGTTTTCCAGTATCATTCCCTTCCCACATTTTGTCTATTTTAATTTAATCACATCAACAGTCTTTACTTTTCATTCAGTTAGCCATTTTGAATGAATTTTGCCTAACTGCTTTTTTCTCCCTTCTATTTTCAGCTAAACTACTGACCTTCGCCTTTGTCTCTAAAGGAGACAATTTTCCTAATCAACTTTCTCTATCAGACAGCCTGTGGCTTTATTTGACCTTGAAACAGCCTGATGTTCAAACGCAGAGCAATGCATTTCACCTTAAAGCAAAGAGTCTATGTAGGTGTAGATTAAACATTAAACTAAGCATTTATATGAGTGAAAGCTTTGTGAACCGAGAATGCCTGATAAAAGACTCATTTTTGTGTTATGGGGAAAATTGCAAAATTGACAAAAAAAAAGCTACAGATCCTCAGAAAGCTTTACCATTGTCCTCCAAATACTTTCGGAGAATATAGCTGGTCTCCGTCCCCTCAAAAGTGTAGTCCAGAGGAATGTTTCCATTGATATCCTGCAGCAAAGCGTTAACTCCAGCCTGTTAAGTAAAAAGCAAAGGAGACAGAAGCATTTATCAGACCTAAACTGAAAATAACTATCAACACCTCCCAGTGACAAACCTGAACTGAAAATTATTTAAATAAAAGTAAAGAACTCATTATACAGCTATTTATCCACTTGTGAGTTACAATTTAGGAGTTAGGGATTGGTCAAAGCAGCCAGGGACTTTTCCAGATTAGGCATCATTTTATGAGTGATCACTCAGAAGAGCATTGAGCAATATACAATTGAGGGATACGGTTTTAAATGTCAAAGTTTTAAGAATCACAAAACGTTGGTTCAAAATCTTGCCAGAGACAGAGGAGGGCTTTTTACAGTGGGTTCTCTGAAGAAATGAAGTGGAACTCCCTTTGCTCTATCTCTTGGGTTAAGCTGTTAGATTATATAGAGGCCAAAAAAGAGCATGTCCATAGATTTTTTTTTTTCACTTTATAAAATTATAAAAATAAATAAAAATCACAGATGGCTACAGATGGACTGGTGTGTGGTATCACAGAGCAGAGTTCAACCAGTTAGCTTTCCTCTGGTTGCAAACAGGCCACCATACACATCAGCATCGTGGCAGAGCATAAAAGCCATAAAATATCTAAGAAACAAATGTAATAAGTCATAATGCTTAAAAAGTTGTAGTTCACATGATTGCATGGCAAAAGTATTGCTAAGTTTTTTTCTTTGTGTTTTTTTCCTGAACAAACTTAGATTTGTTAGTGAGATACTGTAGTCAGTACAAGCATAAGCGGGAAGCAAAACTGCAACAGCCATAGGCTTTATCTAAGTGTTACTTTTATTATATAACTTGAATAACATTTCATAATTATGAATATTATTCACTGGCTTAAGAACCCAGTTGTTTGACAAATAGAACCAATATTTTCAAACAGAAAGGTAATTTAGAACTGAAACTAAAAAAATAGACAATATTAGTTTTTAATGCAAAGTAAAGCTGTTTGAAAACATTCATTTCCATTCGAATCTAGTGAAATTCATTTTCAAAGTAATGCATTTCATTTCAAAATACATTAAAGCAGATTCCATCAGAGCATTCCAAATTCAGTTTCTCATGACACAGGTTCCAGCCCATAAATTACCCAACCACATGGCCTAAAACCCAAAGGCTAACAGATTTTACCTCTTGCAGTCAGTTGACTGACTTGATTAAATGTTGTGATATATATTGAAATACAGTGGTAAAACATAACTAATTTAATCAGAATATAGCAAAAATATTCTTTTACATCAAGGATAACATTTGTGCTTGGACAGAGAAACTCCTGTGATAATGTTGATGTGTATTGCAAACTCAGAAAATTGACAATAGGCTTCTTCAGCTGCTGCTATTGTTGTTTAAGTCACTGATCTTTCTCCATGAATGGAAGATGACTTAAAATTGCTTAAAAAAGTTCAACAAGCTAATTAAGATGGCTGTTATGTTCTAGGAACTCCTTTAGAACCTCTGGAGACTATTTCACAAAGAAGAATTCTTAATAAAGTAAAGAAAATGATGGACAACAGCGAGCATCAACTTTTGAAGATTTTTTAACAACAACAGAGTGTCTTCAGTCAGAAGCTTCTCCAGATCTGTTGCAAGACAGACTGCTACAGAAAATCCTTCCTGACTACAGCCAACACCTGGATAAAAAACAACGTACAAGTTACTGCAACATTAATTTTCCCTTTGGGATTAAGAAAGTATTTTTGAATTGAATTGAATTTGTTCTTTGAAGTAAACATTTTGGATTTCTTACTTGTATGATTATGCCACTAAATATTGGAGGAATAAAGTAGCCTATTGGAAAATAAACAAGTAATAGTTGTATTTCAGGATGACTGTCACTCTTTGATACATTTAGATGCAACAAAACTCCCCTGAGGCACGGAGAAATTGACTGCTGATAGGAATTAGGTTATTTTCTTCTCAGTCTAACTAAACCAGCAACCACATGCATATTTCCCCAAGCGCCATCTGCCTGAAAAACTGAGACACAAAGATTCCTACATAAGGTAGATAAAGAGGCCAGGTGTTTACAGCTAACAATTCATTTTCTACTAGATAAAGCGGATCAATCCTGCATTTGTAACAGTTTTACAAGAATAAAGAAAAAAATTATAAAAATTGATTGATTAAAGTATTTGATTAAAATAGATTGGCAAGTTGGGCATGTATGCTCCTATGGGAAAAATAAAATGTGAGAATCAAGAAACATGATCGGAAATAAGGTAGGGCTGGACAATATTTCAGTATCGATACATAATGCAAAATGATTTATTTTAATATTTATGAAATTACATAAATATATGTCTGATATTTCAATATACAATACAGTCCATGAATTTCAGCCATTTGTCACTGAAGTTAAGGATTTTACTTAGTTTTATGTGGCAAATATTTCTAAAATGATGGAAAATAATTGTTATTGTTATAAGTGTTTACAGGTATCTGTTGTGGCCAATCTTTTTTTTTTTTTTCTGAGGCTTTTATTTTTTTCCACGTCAATATACGAAAATTTTTAATATGGACCAAAAGTAAGAAATTTTTCTTGATATAAGTTTTGGCCATATTGTCCAGCATTAAATCAGGGTATGCATAAATGTATTGTAGACAACTACTACTAAGCATAGAGGTTAAAGTATATAATATATTTTTAAGTGACCACTTTTTTAATATAATGTAAAACACTAGAATTGTTGGCTAGCATTTAGAAATATAACTGCTGTCAGGTTTTCATTAGCTAAATAAAATCTCGCTAAATCCCAGCAGGGCTTTTAAGCAGTCAATGTTCAAAATTAGAGCATTTGGAAAAGTAGTGAAAACAACAGAGTATATTAATGGCCTGGTTCCCTGCTGTTTGGAAGCAGAAGATAAGAGAATTAATATCATTGGCAGTGAAGTACTCCATCTTCTCATCAACCCCCACCCTCACTGTGCCCATGAGAGATGACTGGCAAACCTCTCAGTCAGCAGAAACCACTCTGTCTCCCCAGCATGGAAACGGGAGACAGGAAATCAAGGAGAGAAGCACAGGGCCATAGAAGAGAAATGGGGAAAGAGATGGCGGAGTAGGACAGAACAGATTAGAACACATTAGCTGCTGTATTTCTTCCTGTGTCAGTCAAAGATAAGGATGGCTCAATCAGACTCCTTTTGTTCAGACCATTCTTCAATTTCCAGTTAAAATGTAAACCGTTTAAATTAAGGGCCTAAAGAAAATCACTTACAGCTGCTCAGATAAAGAAACATCCCATATTTACTTTGCAACAGAAAGTCACATTTACTGAAGATGCCTGGGAGAATTTGCAAAACCAAGCAACTGAAATTAAATAGACGGCTTGCAACATTTTTCTCTGAGTTTTAAAATTTACAGATCTGGACTGGAGGCACTGCATAATTGCACCATATATATTAATGGTTTGAACTTCCATATCAATGAGTTATTTTGCACAATTTCTTTTCTCCCACACTGTTTACATTTGATCACTGCTGCACTTCATGGAATGGAAATGTTCATTTACTCTCTGAAACCTGTATCAAACTAAATTTCGTTTGTATACACTCTGTGTATACAAAATGAAAATAAAAGTTGTCTTAGGCCCTTTCTCAATATGTGTACTTGTGCGTTCTCATGTGCTTGTGAAACATCATCAACCGCAGCCCTAGTACTGTTCCAATTCACAAGAACAGTATACCGAGAATGGACAAAGTCCCCAGATGTTGTTCTCGCCCCTCCCTATTTACCGAGCATGCATCAGAGCAGACTTGTCTGGTTCTTGAGTTTGACAGCTGTCTTAGAATGCACCGCGGCAGCAGCAGCTTTCAATGAAGGGTTCCATTGATAGTTAAAAGTTCTCTTTTCTGCTGCAGTTGTTCAATAAAAGTACATTTTAAGATAATTATAATTTGAGGCAAGAATATTACACTTTAAAGCGTCACTATGTGGACCATTTACCGATTTAATGCGTCATTTAAAAGAATTCTGAAGTTAAGAGGACCACGGCAACCAGTGGACCTCCGAGGCTAATAGCAGCCAGGGCTAACCGCAACCCGTCTGCAGCTGCCCTCTCTCGGCTTAGCCGGGGGTTAGTCCTGCTGGCTCTGATGGTGCTATTTTTTGTTTTATTTGGGGAAACGTTCATTTAATGTGTGTTTATCTGACTGTGTTCATTATTATTCCCCCACTAAATGAAAAAAAGTAATAATTTATTATTATATACAGACTATTAATAACAGGGGGAGTAATGCAGCTCTAGATAAGCCGGGCATGTGGTGACGTCACAACTACGCTTCTGTTCCAATTGACCCATATTTATGCTGCGTGCTCCCGTTCTCACCAAGTCCATACTTTCCTGTGTTCTTCTCAAGAACATACTTGAGAAGAACACGAGTTGCGAGGACACGAGTCCGTACTCGCGTTCTTGTGAATTGAGAAACGGTTTTAGTCTAAGGTGGGAGCGTTTTAAGGCAGCTATTCCCTGATGTCTACAGTACCTGGCTGGAACAAAGGAACCTCTGATGTGTTTGGCCTTCTGCTAAGCTGCTAAGTGCTGGAGGAAAACTCCAGCCTTCCAAATGGATTCACAGACGTTCGCAGGTCTGACACCTTTGGGGACAGATTCTCCAGTTAAAAAAATGTTTTTGATGATTTTGATCATGTTGTGTGTATACTGTTGAGTAAAGACTAAGCTAGGGTGACCAGACATCCTCTTTTTCCCCGACATATCCTGCTTTTCCTATCTATAAAGATGTCCAGGAGGAATTTCAAAATTGTCTGGGAATTTGGTCGACTACAGGGCAGCAGAACCGATCAGTGAGCTGCTGGGCTGGTCCAGGAACTCCGCCTGAAGGGGGCAGGGAACACCGGGTAAAGTTCGGTTGCTCCGTCCCCCGCTGGCTCTCTGCCCATGTTCGCTGGCGTTACCGGACCAGTCTAGGAGCTCACAGCTCGGTTCAATTGCCCGGTCTGGTCCAGTTAGCTTCTACTGTAGCTCACTCAAAGACTCATTTAACTAAAGGGTATCGGTTCCCGATTAAGCAAATCATTAAATAAAACATTATTTGGCCAAATTATGTTTTAATCACCTCTTGGATTGCATTGTGAAACGGTTTTAAAAAATACCAGTTTCCCTAAATTAGTTAAAAGCAAATTTTATCACATCCCAAATTCTTCAAGATAAAACTTTGTTCTCAAACACAAAATCAATGCTAAACTGTGACATCATAGTATCATTTAATGTATTATGGTGTTCAACCATGTTTCTCCTTCTTCTTTGTACATAGTAGGTTAGATAAGTTGATTTTCACTAGTTTAAGTTAGGATTTATCACTGAAATATGTTTGTTAATA